CCAAACTAACCCTTACCCTAACTTTAATTAAAAACTAAAAACACGTGACTGGACACGGCTTTAGACGTCCCCCAAATATTGAAATAAGGCTTACATTTCCCTTTTTCAAAAAAGGGGGACGTATCGGTATACATAGTAAATTAACCTTTTTTTCAATCGGAAATTATCGGCCTGAGGCCTGACCTTGCTCGTCTTTTATGGTCGTTTATTTTTTCTTTAAATTTTTCGGATCCTTACAATTTCTAATTTTAATTCCGCCTGGCATTAGCTCTCCTTCGGCCAAAATCATATACCCCAAAATTTTTTTTTACTAAGAGGGGGCGTATACTTATTTCTACAAGTAATACAAATCCAAAAAAGGAACTTTTTATATGTAGATCGCAAGATCAGTGCAAGCTTTGTGTAACGTGAAGTCAAACAACGTCGGTAATTCAAAATTTGCCTAAGAAATTCTTATACCAACCTTAACCCTAACCCTGATGCTGGTCAAAATTTCACTGCTTTTTAGCGAAATCGAATTCGGGACACTACCAGTCAATTGGGGTAAAATCTCCACCCAAAAAAGTTTCAAAATCACATGACATGCAAACACATACATATTATCGATTGATTTTCTCGTACGTACGTACTTAAAAGTTACTTACTTATATTTAATATGCACTTGTAAGCATATTTTATGAATATTTGCATTTTGTCCAGTTAAGAGATTCAACAATTTAATTGTGCTGGTTTGTTGATTTGCGTTAATAGTGCTATTTTTTATTCAATAATTAGCATTTAAAAATTAATACGTTCTTTACAACTTTAAAAAGTTCTTTTTTTCAATTTTGAAACAAGATTAAATCTTGATTATCACTAGTGATATTCATCGAGTATTCACTTAGATTAACTGTAGTAAAATCTTGTTCATAGATTTGAAATTCTTGTTCATTGACTTGAAATTCTTGTTTATTGACTTGAAATTTTTGTTCATTGACTTGAGATTCTTGTCCACATGCTTGTGATTCTTGCTCATGAAATTGATTATTAACTTGCAGTTCAGAATTGTTTAAATTTTTAATTGAGGTATGAATGTTTTCAGGTAAATCAGAAAAGGCATTCTCTTCTTTGACTTCTAATAAGGGATAATGCTCTTGACATGTTACCTTAGAATAAAAAATTATTATAAGAATTTGTAAGTTTAAATAAATAGATAATTATTTTTACAGTACCTTTCTAAAAAAACCTGGTTCAACGGGACCATAAATTCCTACTAAATGTTTGCATAGATGAAAGCAGCTTAAAAGAAAACTAGAACATGAACAGATTCAGCATAATGAGTCAGTAATATGGGTGAAATTAGTATTAACTTTTTCATTAGTTAATTTTTTCTATTCAAATTGAAAATCATGCCATTTTGACATACACCGATTATTGCGCAGTAATTGTAACTGATTTATTTGATGCAGTATAACTTTTACAACAATAATATAAATAATCAAATCCAGTTGTGCATGATTATAGCTTGAAAAAAAATCATGTTTTAAAAACTGCCAATGGCCTTCAATAGCTATTGTGTTTTGTAAAATATTAAGTTTTGGAGTTGATGCATGACCCCATTGTTTTCACATTCAGAATAGCACCACTTACACCATAAATAGGTCCAAACATGTTTCAGATCATTTTTGTAACAATAGTCATATGTTTCCTTGACGCTTTTATTCCAAATTTGATTTGTATTTAAAAAATTTGGCAGATACTCAATTGGTATCATTGGATGCCATGAAAAGTGAACATGGGCCATTTGAAGAATTGATTCACAGAAGTTTTTTTTGGCAATAAACTTTCTTTTCATTATTATTGTTAGATGAATTTTCCTGATTTGTAAGATCTGTAAACTTTTGATTTTGATTAACTGGTTGCCATGCAGAATTAATAGTTGGACAAAGTAAATGTGCTTCATGAGAATTATAATAATTATGTGCAATACTGATACTTGAGAGTTTTTTATAATTGCACATAACACATACTAGTAACATAATTGGATCTGTGCCTCAGTTCAAATTTTATTAGCTGCACTAATTTGTCTACGATCTTTATCCATTAAAATAGTTTCGACATTTTGAATCTCATTTTCTTTTAGGCTTTGAAACTATGTTGCAATTGCATGTGTTTTACAATATAGACATTTTGGTTTAAGAAAAAAGTAGGATAGTGAAAACCCACTACCATCTATAGTTCTAAGAATTGCAAACAATTTGTATTTTAAATGATTCGTCCCATAAGTAGAATCAACAATAGTTTTTGTGACGTTACTTGGTAATATAAATAGTAAAGGAGTTAAAAAAGCTAATGAATCTTGATCTTGGTAAAGAAGTTTGAAACTTGGATTGTTCTTCAAATATTGTTGTGCTGATTCTAATAGATCATTGGCAAATCTATACTCTAATGTAGTAAGTTTTTTAGACTAATAGTAAATTTGTTGTCAAGTAACATTTAAAAATCTATTAATTTTTTCATTTTTAATATTACTATAAAGTTGCAAAACAGCTAATTGATTATGATTAATAATATAATTGCGGATTTGTGAAGAAACTTCTATAGTTTCAGGTGGAGAATGAATGTAATGATAAATATTAACTACTGCTAAGTTATGACTTTGTTCTATATTAATCTGAATTGTGCCACCACAATCATATCAAACAATTCTTAGCATTGTATTACGTCAGCTTAAAATATTAGAAACTTGTGCCTTTTTATTTTTTAGCTCTTCGCGATAGTTACAATAATAAATGAATGAAGCTGAATTTTTCAACACTTGAAATTTATAATATATCAAGGAAAATCTATCTACTTTTGAATAAGGTTTATAATGTGTTGTGCAACTTCTTTATTTACTTGATCTTCTGAATTTGTATTAACAATATTTAATAATGGTTCTAGAGTTATATAAAACCTCTTTTCAAATAGGTGTTCATCAGAATCATAAGTTTCTGGAAGGGAAGTTAAAATAAAATCTACAATATTTTCTGGTGATATTGCATTTTCTTGATTTTTTATTATAAGTTCATTTTGTTCTTTGTTTTTTAATTTATTATTTGTTAAAATTTGATTACAGCAATCTAAACATATTTTTAAATTAGTAGAATCAGCATTTTTGCATTTATTGGTCTTTAAACTTTTAAAAGTTTCATTTGGTCTATCAAGTTTGCAATGATCGCATTTCATAATTTTGAAAAGAAAGGTTTACATAACACAGATCAAAATAAATATATATACCAAATACAAACATAGCGGACTTTTAATTTTAGGAATAACAAAAATTAAATATTATATATTGGTATATTATTATATCGATATGTAATGATGATTTTAGTGATGTATATCACGTGATTTCAAAATTTTTTTGGGTGGCAATTCTATTCTAATACTACCAGTCATGTGATATTTTTGCTTACAGATTTGGTAAATGAAAATTATGTCAAAAAAATGACAAGTCAGGTGACTACAGTCACAAGAGAAACATTTAACCAATTAATTTTTGTTTACATGCTGCATAAAAGTGAGTGGATTATGCAATTCATATAGTAAAAATGTAAATTATGCACATATTATGCTGTATCATAATCCTGGACACCCTATTATAGACACGTACTGATCACATGACCTAATAAGTTAACAATGATGATACACAAGTGCAACTTTTGTAACATTTCTCTTTTGTGACATTTGTAGTCAAATGATGTTTTACTGCAATAGCTCTAATATATATAAGACAACCACCATGTTTAGTTTTTTTTCTTTTTTGAGTTTTTTTTCTATATTCCAATTGTTATACCATTTTACACCTTTGTAAGATGATGAAATGTGATTTATCTTCATGTCTTGTAAGATTACTATCTTTTCTTAATAAGTGAATCTGTTAACCTTAGCAGTTAAGTTAGTTGCATTTTTAAGTGCTTCTAAAGATTTGAATGTATCATTTACTTAAGTATAGTAAACTCTATTATTGTTCATATATATCAGATAATTTTATATATAATTTTATATAAACATTTATATATCAATATATAAAAACAATCAAAGTTAAAGAAATTTATTAAAATAAGATGAGTATATTTATTTAATAAAGAAAAAAAGATCAAATAATAGATATGAGTTTTTTGATTTTATAAATAATAATAAAGTTTAAGGGTAGAGTATCTCATAGTTTTAGAGTCGTATAAATTAACCAATCAGAATGCTCGATTTTGCCTATTGATGAGCAAAATTGAGCATTCTGATTGGTTAATTATGCGACTCTAAAATCATAAAATATCCTACTCTTAAAATGATAACCATTTTACTACATTATTATATATTATAATTTACATATATCGAATCATAAATATACAGTTATATTTGGATTATATACTCTTTTTTCAAAGCATTTTTAGAGATATAACTAAAGTAGAGATATAACTCAATATATAAAATATATAAAAATATATAAAAAAGAGGAAATTTGTTTTGCTTAAATATGGTGATATAATTCAGGTTAGGATATAACCTAGTAGAGATATAACTCAGATATAACTGTATAATTAATTTTTATTAAGCATTTACTTTATTTTACAAAAATTAGTTAATGACGAAATATTTTTTAATACTATTTTGCAAAGAGTAAAATAGAAAAAAGTATTATGCCTTATAAATATATGGGTTGATCAAACAAATTAACATTTTTAAAAAAATTAATATTTTAAATTTCACTACTTATATTTTAATGTATTTTCATAATTGAATAGTCAAAAAAAAGCTTAAACTTAAATCTTAAGCTTTTATTTGACTATTCATTTATAAAAATAGTTTCAAATATATCCAAGTATCTTAAAAAAAAGAAAACTCTTTCTGCTTATCATCTGTATACAAAATTTTGTTATAATAATTTTCACATTTTTCTCAATTTACAGAAATTTATTAAGTTAACAACCTCTTGACTTTTAATAACATTTGTTCAGCTACTGTTTTTATATATATCTGTAAAGTTTCAAGTCTGTATCTCTCATTGTTCTTGAGATATTCGATTTACAAAAACAGACAGACAAAACTCTGTTCTCCTCCCAAAGTTTTGCCCTTTCTGGAAACTGGGCTTAATAATATACTGATACCTTATAATTGAATCTGTAGAGCTTATCTCTGGCTTCAAAACAAGCTATAGTACATCAAATTTGACCTAAAATTGATCATTTTAGAATCAAAAATATCAAAACTCTCTTTTTTACTCTTTAGATTCTTAAAAAGTTCCTTCCTAGTTTACCCCATCAAAATCGTTTTTGTGTAACATTCGGACCTGTATTTCCGATTTGTTTACATCTGACCATACTAGA